TAAATCACCTGTCGGTCATAAATCACCTGTCGGTCATAAAGTCACATGTCAGTCATAAAGTCACCTGTCAGTCATAAACCTGTCAGTCATAAAGTCACCTGTCAGTCATAAAGTTACCTGTCAGTCATAAAGTCACATGTCAGTCATAAATCACCTGTCAGTCATAAACCTGTCGGTCATAAAGTCACCTGTCAGTCATAAAGTCACCTGTCAGTCATAAAGTCACCTGTCGGTCATAAATCACCTGTCAGTCATAAAGTTACCTGTCAGTCATAAAGTCACATGTCAGTCATAAATCACCTGTCAGTCATAAACCTGTCAGTCATAAAGTCACCTGTCAGTCATAAAGTCACCTGTCGGTCATAAAGTCACCTGTCAGTCATAAAGTCACCTGTCAGTCATAAAGTCACCTGGTCACCTGTCAGTCATAAAGTCACCTGTCGGTCATAAAGTCACCTGTCGGTCATAAAGTCACCTGTCGGTCATAAAGTCACCTGTCGGTCATAAAGTTACCTGTCGGTCATAAAGTCACATGTCAGTCATAAAGTCACCTGTCAGTCATAAATCACCTGTCGGTCATAAAGTCACCTGTCGGTCATAAAGTTACCTGTCGGTCATAAAGTCACATGTCGGTCATAAAGTCACCTGTCAGTCATAAAGTCACCTGTCAGTCATAAAGTCACCTGTCAGTCATAAATCACCTGTCAGTCATAAAGTCACCTGTCAGTCATAAAGTCACCTGTCAGTCATAAAGTTACCTGTCAGTCATAAAGTCACCTGTCAGTCATAAAGTCACATGTCGGTCATAAATCACCTGTCAGTCATAAAGTTACCTGTCAGTCATAAAGTCACATGTCAGTCATAAATCACCTGTCAGTCATAAACCTGTCGGTCATAAAGTCACCTGTCAGTCATAAAGTCACCTGTCAGTCATAAAGTCACCTGTCGGTCATAAATCACCTGTCAGTCATAAAGTTACCTGTCAGTCATAAAGTCACATGTCAGTCATAAATCACCTGTCAGTCATAAACCTGTCAGTCATAAAGTCACCTGTCAGTCATAAAGTCACCTGTCAGTCATAAAGTCACCTGTCAGTCATAAAGTCACCTGTCAGTCATAAAGTCACCTGTCGGTCATA